AACCGTCGCCGCCGTAAAGAATTACGCTCATCTTCGCTTACGTGGATAAATGCCAAAGTGCTTGCTTCGTGTTTTACAATTTAGTCAAAGTAAGAAAAGAAAAGAAATTATGAGTCCGCTAAAATTTATATCTTCTAATAGTGGCTATGAATCGTCGGATCAAATGAATGGATCTGAAGCTATTATTAACGAAATTTCGAGAAATAGGTTTCTATTTTCTCTCTTATCATCATTTATTTCTATCTTCAAATTAAATAAAATAGAGAATTATCTCCGGACAATTTTCGCAAAATTTCATATTTTCTTTTATACTTTTCGTCTCTCTCATGCTAATTAAAAGTTTATAAAAATATACGCTTCCACGATGCGATGTGAACAATTATTCAGCGGCCAAACTGACCAGTTTGGCCGTTGAAGTGTAAATAATTTGCACCTTACTAGACACGGATTAAACATAGAAGCCTTTGAGAGACCCGTGGAGCGGGCTCGCATTAATCAACGAACATTAATCAATGGACAAGACGCTAATCAGGAACGTCCGGCAAGTAGGTCGATCGGAGGTTCGTCCGAAAACCTTTCGATCTTGCTCGCCGCAGATGGAGATTCCACGTCGCGCGATGAATGCACGCTTACGTACGTCCGTGTATATGTGGCTAAGTGTGTCTGCGTGCGGCCGGTTGCAGCGGACTGTGCAGCAACAGGGTTACCCACCGACTCCGGCCGACGCTTTCGTCTTTCGAGATAGAGAGACGTTTCTGTGAAGACTGGAAAGCCGCGATCCCCGGTGTAGACCAGCCGAGATGCCTGGGGGTTGATTGATTAGAGGGTACGGCGTAAGAGAGAAACCCGGGGAGTGTTCCGGGGTGCGGGTTAGTTCAGCAGGGGGGCTCCTGGGTTATTTGGGGTCGGGGGCGGCGAAGGCGAGGGGAGGTGGGTGGTTGGCGCAGAGCAACGTCGGCGGCGGCGGCGGTGGCGAAGGCGGGTGAGTGTGGGGAACGGTGTTGGATTCGAGGTGGAAGCAAGGTAAAGGGCGGTGGCGAGGGACGGCCGGGTGAAGAAGGGTGGCGGCCCGTCCGGTGTTAGAGAAGGAAGGCTGGAGGCGGTAGTTCGAGGTGCTACAGTTTATAATAGTTGCCGCCGCCCTCGGGCCAACCGACCCTGCCCGCAACTTCCACAGAGTTGCTTAAACCTAACCTGCTCTCACGGGTACGTGGGACGATCAAGTGTGGTCCGCGGTTCGACCGAAAGAATGTGGGTTACTCGGTCCCGGCCGACCGCCGATGCCGCGCGATTTTTGCGTCGTCGCGACTTTCGCCCGCTCTCGCCGTAGCCGCGAGAACGGCCCGCTGGACGGCACGGCGAAGCGAGAAAGAGCATGAACGGCAATTTCGAGTAGCCAATAGTATATCCGCCGTGCGACAGCGCGCGTGTGCCGTAGATTAGTTTGTAGTTCGTCGTTAAAGAAAAAGCCGAGTTATTAGTTGTGGCTCGGGGGGGTCAGGGAGCCGGCGGGAAGATGAGGAGGTCAGGCGGCTCGCGCTCGCGCGCGCAATTTAGCGCGAGCTTATCAGATCTCCGTTGCGCTTCAACCGCAATTTATACTACTTACTGAAGCGACGCGTACTATCTTTCGTTACTTATAAGAACGATTAATAAATAATTGCGTTTGCATTTCGAATCATATTCACGCGGGGATGAATTTTTCATTTTATTAGATCTCTCCTTTCTTCATTTTTCCATCTACATTTCAATAAGATTTTTTACTAATTCGCAATTTAATTTTTTTTCTAAATTGAAATGCAGGCAATGAAATAATGCAACGAGTATGTTAGATAACGACCACCTCCCCTTTTCGATTTCCTGATTAACACGAAAGAAAGAAGCGACTTCAATACGTACGCGTGCACGCGTACGCGTACCTATACGGCGCACGATTTCTCGGTCCCGTGACAGCGGCCTCCGTTATAATTCTCCGTTATCTATGGAAATTCTAAACCATACTAAACAACAATATATATCCCAAAACTATGTAATTCCTCGTGCTTGCGCGTACACGGTATGCAATATGCGGTAGCGAGGGCTGCAAACTGGCCGCGGTACTAATTTGTTTTGCGCTGCCTTTTTGATAATTTATGATCTTCCGAATGAAATGCATTATACATTAATTTGTTTGAATTCCTCAACTAATAGTAGCATTAGAATTAATATTCCTAGACGAATATGGAAAATGTAATGAGATAAATATAATAAATATAATGCAATTTCACGTTAATTGGCGAGTAGAAAACGTTGAATGTAAAATTTATCGCAACTACGTACTTAATATGTACAGAAGAATTGTGTGATTTTTTTAAAGCGACATACAAGCTTCTTAACGAAACTAAAAATTCTTAAAAAATATGTTCTCGATCTGGTAAAGATCCATTAATATTTATTTTAATTCGTCCACTGTGGAGCGAATCAAAATTTGAGCGTTATTTTCAATGCGAGAACGTTTGTTGTCCGACATGGCGACGGAAGGAGACGCGACTCAAGTACGACGCGATTCTCGACTAAGGTCGTCCACGAGCGTCGTCCATGTCCTTCGGAGTTGTCCATGCCTTAGGAAAGCACGTAATCATGCCAGTCCGCTATTACTTCCTATAACGCTATCTACGCCAGGAAACGCCATTGCTCGCTCGTTCCTACGTAGGTACGTGGTCCAGGGACGTCGAGGATGATGAGATCTGCAGGCTTGCATCCTGATGAGACTATTAGGATGGCTTGATAAGTCCATAATATTCTGGTCGATGCTGGGCAACGCCGTCGACTCCACCCGGTGTCCTCGCCAAACCGCTACCTCCTCCTCCTCCTCTTCTTCCTCCTTCTCCAACTACCTCTCGCCCGGCATTCCGTTCCCCTCCGTCGTCGCCATCCCTTTTACGTGCACGTACGATGCTCGGCCTCGGTCACAGTGACGACAAGATAGGTGACGCTTCCAATTTCCATCGACTTTGTTAACCTCGTACTGTGATCATTTCTCAGCTCGCGGGAGACAGAGTTTCCGATCAAACAAAGGAATTCTAGTATTCAATATAAACAAAGAAATCTAATATTTGTTCACAAATCGTATGTGGTTATATCTCAAGAATTCGATACCTAATATAAATGACTTTCTCCCATGGATAATATTATATTAAATCGTCGAGCTTTGTTGCACTTTTAATAGCGTGTGGCTATATTTAAATTATAATATTATAATAATAAAATATAATATTTAAATATCTCCTTAATTCATTATAAGTACTATTTACAATTTCCACAGAATAATTTGTCTAAAACTTGTTAGTGATCTTAGAAATTGAAATAATGAAGAATAATAATAAGTACAAAATTTTGGTTTATTCTGAAATAGACATTTGTTTTTTTTTATTGTTTACTTATTTTAACGCGCGAACATTTTTAATGAATTTGTTACAAAGCCAGGATGCTTCGAAAGCGTTCTCCGGCAACCGGCTTGAAACGGCTCACCTCGTCCTGGCTCGCCTCTTGCGGGCGAACGGTCGATGTTGTGCCCTCGAAGCGGCTGAAATTAACTTTGAGCATTACAGATGTCGAGGCGCGCCGCGGCGAGAAGCTAACACCTTGTTAGCCTGACAAATTCGGTCCATCTCTCCTTCCTATCGTCCCTCACGACACTCGCCGTCCACCCATGCTTTCTATCCCCGCGACAATATCCCAGCGAGCCTTCGCCAGAAATTGAGGAAACTCAGCTCTTAACCCTTTAAATGGATACGCAAATTTGCGGTTCGTTGGAAGAAATAACCATATTTCGCGTCTACAAAGTACAAAAAAAGATTTATTTTTTGCGTCTTGGAGAGTTATTTAAAAATTTTCGCGTTATTTATTTTTCTGAAGTTTAAGCATTTGTGAATTAGTTAATTTGCTACGAGTTTCAGCGTTTACTTTTTTCGCGCGACACGAGACGCTTAATGTATCTCGAAGTTTATTAAAATATTCGTGTAACTCTCGTAAAGCCTGATAGTATACGTTTTGCGTCCGTATTCGTAACGGCGTCGCTTCTCACACGTATTTTGCGGTCCGGATGATAATCGACTTCTTACGCCGAATGCCGGGGCTGTCTCCGTCTTCATCGGCCGCACGAAATTGGCGCGAATGGAATCTCGAGCAGCTGCGGGAGTGCACGTCGTACGTGCGGAGAGTGTCGAGCGTCACGGAACGTCGTCGCTTAATCGGGTCGTACCCTCCGCACGCGATCCAGGACTTCTATCCCCGCCGGCCCTTTCGAGACATTCGCGTCGTCGCGCAATCTATGATGATCGGGAAGTGTTATCGGGGATTTCGAGAACTTCACTCGATATTGGACGATTTCCAGGCACTTCCTTTGTGCCGCGAAATGAGGTGAAATGGGTGGATGACGTGGGAAGAGAACAGGTACGACAATCGTGGCGGCGGCTGCGATACGATGGCGATGGTCGCAGGGGGTCAGCGGAGACGCGATGTGTCTGCGTCGAGGCGGAAGGGTAATGCCATTGCACGACCGAGGAGTGCCAATATCCGGCGTGGGCTCGACGGCGGCGTTTAATTGCGTTAGTATTTCATCGCGAGAGTCCGGAGACTTTTCAATTGGGGTCGCAGCCGGTTAAAGCCTTTGGTGGAGTTAGACATAGCGCGCGGCAATAGGGTAGAGACGAAGGCCGGTCCTTATCGAACTCGTGCGAAATCGTGGGAAAGGGTTACCAGCTTTCATGTTATCAAGTTCAAACATCCGTAGCGTTTGATAAAACGAGCTCGAATAAAAGCTTCCTAATTTGAGATACATTGTCAAGAAATGTGCAAGTCGCTGATAAAATTGTCGACTCAGTAATCATATTATGAAAATGTCATTTCAAAAGCAAAAATTGATGAAAAACAATTGTATAAAACATACAAAATAATAGATATACATATATAATTGTTATTCAAACTGCTAATTGTGTATTGATTATTTTATGTTTCAGGTACCACGCTTAATATAATAACGATAAAGAAAGGATTTTCAGCAGCTTTCAAGTAAGATGATTTATTAATATATAAGTACTAATAATAATTTATAAGGAACGGTTTATGATTAGACATTCGTTTTAACTCTGCATATAACTTAAGGCCCATAGGATATTTAGATTAAGATCTATAATTAGTTATCATATTCGCCACTCTAGTGAAAGACAATTTTATATAAGAATATTGTACATTATTCGGGTGGGTGAGATCTTAAGTCGTAATTATATTAAAAGCCCATCACTTCCTCTAATGCACATTCCTGAACCGAATGGAAAATAAAGGTGTCCCCCTCTTTTAAACGATCTATATATTCCACCTGCATTTATCCTATCCGGCTGACTCGGCACTTTGCGGCGCATCGGAAGAGATTCAAGGGTGAGTACGAAACATCAGCCGACGGGGGTTAGTATCCGGGTAAAATGATGTGAAAGCTTATGAAATGGCGGTCTAGTCCGGCGAGATACCGGAGTATAGTGTATTTCCACCTCGCACCCAGAGATAATATGGTAGGGTAGTAACAGCCAGAGGTTTATCTTTGTAGGACCATAAAACTAACCCATTCTATACGCTTGATGATGAGCACTTCTCGGATATCAGTATACAGCTCCTTCCAAAATCCGAATTTCGAGTTTTAACCGTGTATTTTGCGATTGTTTTGAAATTGGATAGATCTTTGATTTATGCATGATTTATTTTCGAAGAGGTTTCAATAAATTGAACGAAGTAAGTGGAGCAAACGCGAATACCGACTATTTTAATCCCTGGAAGAAAAGAGATATAATAATTTTTAATGTAATTGTTTATTATCATTAGTATATTTTCTAGCTATATTAATTAACGTTTTCAAACGTATACGCCGTATACGTATTATGCAGTAATATAATCAGATTTAAACTTCGGTTTCATGCATGAACAAAGATAATCGCGGTAAAGTTTACGGACATCGTTGGGTAACCCCAACGACATCAGGAGACAAAGCATCATAGACCATGTCTCCGCGATGATAGGTACGATCACTGAAAACGCGAAGTCGTCGGAGAAGTTCGCGACAGGTTGATATTTCGGCGACGCGTGTACGCGGCGATCGTAAATTGTAAAATCTATCAAGACCAACGCGGCCGACATAACTCAGGGGGGTTGCTATCCCGGTGGTATGAAGCATGGCGGCCAGACTCGGCATAAATACCCGGTTGCAGAACACTGCAGGAGCAGGGAGCAAGCCCAGACCCGTTGTGGCGTGGCAACATCATCTATCTCGAATAATTTATTATCGCACGACTACCGCGTCCTCTCGAAACCTGGACAAGAACGCAACTATAGGAACTACGAACGGGAAACGAGTGTCGTGCATATGCGCCGACCCTCGTCGACCTTCCATCAGCTGAGTTGCAAGTGTGCTCGTTTCAATCACGAAAGATGGTTGTTTGTTTTTTATTAAAACTGTTTATTCATTCTCCTTTATCATAAACTTAAAACTTTTAAATTTCTGATCTAGCTGTATTTAAATAAATAAGTAACATGGTAATTTCAAAATCCAAGAATAACAGATTAAATTAGAAAAATCGTAGTTAGTATTATTTAGATATCGAGAGATCTATAATACGCGCAACAAGTTTAGTACTGATAAAATTCAGGAATCTATCTCTTTTTTTACACTATTGTGTATAGATTATTTACTAGAAAATATGATCTTTATATTTATTTCCACTACAAAATATGATCTTTATATTTTCTGAGAAAGAGTACTTTAGAAAATTTTTTGAAATTTACATTTTATCGAGAAGAGAGTAATTAATTGATTAACGAACTTTTCGATTTTAATATTGTGTGTGTCAGACGTGATACACAATATCTGAACTTAAATGTATTGAATAATGTCAAAGCAATAGTTTGCAATAAGCAAGTAGAACGAGCAGGTTGTGCATATGCACATCAAACAAAATCAATTGTAAAAATCAGTGTCAAGCATAAAGATCAATAATTTTAGCGGAGCATTCAGCAAAGTTCCTTATAAAACTTTTATAAATAGAACAATCCTAAAAGGTATTCATAAAAAATATGTTTGAAAAACTATAAAGAAATTAATTTGTTTAAAATAAGCAGTTATATACGTTTTTATTATTTCGTTTGATTTATGATGGCTTTTACTACTGGACATCACCAAAGGTACACGCCAGTAGTATTCACATATGGGAAACATATTAAATATTAAAAAACTGTGAATATTACGTCTAATTACGTTTCCTAAAACATTTCTATAAATCTCGTTAAGACAATAGACAATTCGATAATAATTTAACAATAATTTTATGACATCTCATATTATTATTTAATATTTTATCGAATTATCAATTATGTTATTTTATATTTGTATACTATTCTTGAAAGAACAGTCTAGTGATTTGATCAAATGATTAAAGAATGAGAAAATATTATTAACATTTTTTAAAATGGAATGTGCTTAGTGGCGCCATCCTGCTAAGGGTTGGTGAACCCATACATACCCTTGCTCGACGAATGCACGTGAGGTTTGAGGGGTGAAGAATGACTTGTACAAAAAAATGTCGGCAGGTGGCACTAGGTCCCTCTTTACGCAAAGAAAGAAGCTTTTTTCTTTGTTTTTTCACACCTTTCGCGCGCAGATCGTGCTTACAAAAAGCGAGGGAGCGTTACTCTACGATTCTTTTCGCGCGCAAATGCTTATGATCGGGCGATTCTTTAAAGAAAGCGATTTTTTTCTGACTTAAACAAAATGTTCTCGTAAAAGTAAAAGATCACTTGTACTGTATTTAATATTTCGGTGCATTGCTATCGACATTTTTTATCGTAGAAAGCATTTTCTTTTTGGGCAAAATGGCGATGCTAGGTGCATCGAACAAGTCGACGGCAAAATGGTGTATTCACGGGATCGCAACGTTTCCCCATCTTGGTATGCGGTTCAGATGTAGACACTGCGGAGGGGATAAACAAGGGGCAGTACCAGGTTGGCGGGCAGATTTTCAAAAAACCGGAGGGGCTGCGCGCGCTTCGCCTTCATTGATCGGGGGGCTGTGTCCGGCTGCCACCCTCTCCGCTGCACCACGTATGCAAACTACCCTCTTCGTTGGCCGGGCAGCCGAAGAGGGACTCGTTCGCTCTCGACTTTCAGGGCGGAGCCCAGGAATCTCTGAGGGTTCCCAACGTTACAAAAAAAAGTTAAAAAAATTTTTTAAAAATTAAAAAAGGAAAAAATAGAGAAAATTGCAAAAAATCATATTTGAACTACTCTTCGCATTTTTGGCGGGAAAAAAGCGTGAGCTCAAGAAAAAGATTCATATGAAGGAAATATCTTTTATTGCGTCAAGTCATTACATTTATTAATTCCAACAATATATCAATCGCTAATAAACATATCATTAGAGACGTGCGTTCAGAGATGATACAATATTCATCTTATTATCGTAAGACGCTTCGCAAGAATCGATGTTATGAAAGCGACATTTCGTTGAACGTTGAATTTCGAATGCTTTATACCACGGGCTTCAGAGGGGTTCCGCATGTCCGCAGTCGTCTGAATATTCGCTGGTTCCATCTAAGTTATAGAAAAAAAAGCGAAGAGTTTCTAAGTTAAGTACGGTACATGGCAAATGGTATTACGACCGGACCGCCGTGGTCATTTCGGCGATTCTCAGTGGGCCGAGATCTCGGTTGGCTGGAAATCGGCGGGCGAGTTTCTCATTACAGTTTCGGGAGGATTTCGAAAAGGACCCCCATGCCCGGCCGGTACACCGCAGCATTTTTCAGTCTAGGGGACCAACCCCTACTAGCTTCTCTGCACTCACTCGAGGGAGAGTGACCGGCGAGAGATAGGTGCGCGCGACCGGGAAGAAGAGAGGAGGCGAACGAGTGAACGATGGAGAGCGAATGAACGAAGGGAGAGAAAGAGGCAAACGGAGATGGGAAGGCGGAGGGAAAGAGGAAAGGAACGGGAGGGAGCGAGAGCGAGTTAACCTAGCTTCAAAATTCCAGCATCAATTCTGGAGCCCCTCTAGTGTCTCACCCACCCGGTGCAATTAGGAACTACCCCTTCTATCCTATTCTGGCTCTATCCTCACTTCCCTTCGACCTCCCACCCCTTGAGAGCGACGGAACCACGTGATCCGGCAACTACACTCTTGTTTTTAGGGTGGAGGCTCGGGTGTCGGTGGTGGCGGGTGAGAGGCGCGGGTGCAGAGTAGGGGGCGAAGGGTGGAAGGACGTAGGAAGAGGAGGAGGTAGGACGGGGCGAGTTGCCGGGTAGGAATACCACGTCCGCGTTGCCATGGTTACCGTAGGGGGTGGTTTATACTTGAAGGGTTACCCCCGCAGTACAGTCCCCGCAAAATTGTGAAAACTACCGGCGGACTGTAGCGTCACTGCGCGGAAAAACTTCCGTCAACGGCACCCGTACTTTTGCCGAAGCTTTTACCCAGGGGCTTTCCCTTTCGCGACCTCCAGTGTTTACACCGCTTAAACGTCTAAGACAATTAATGACCGGGTTTTCGGGGTTTTCTACCGCGATACTTACAAGTCAAGGCTCGCGTTTGTCCGGCTTCCACGTACAATTGCAGGATTTTGTTAATTATTAATTATATGAATTATACAGAATTATTAATCGTGTGACGTGACGAAATCTTACCAATAAGATTATCATTAATTTGGTAATTTTGGATACATACATTGATACTCTAAAATTTCTAAAAGTCTACAGATTATTTTTCAATACTTCTAAGCTCTATCTTTTATATTAGCTTCATACAGTATTATTAAAATAGAAAAGTCGCGTTTTTGTAGGGATTTCTAAATTTACATAACTAGATTAAAGCTTCAATGAAGCATGTATGCGCTCATACGCTTCGACTTTGTATCTATTAATCTGAAAATTTTCATCAGTGATTCACAAAGAGTTTCACTGGACAGCTTGTGCGCGGCAGCTGTCGGATATACTTTCCGATTTATTCTCGTAGAGACAGCTATGCTTCGCGTTGGCA